CAATCAAACATTTAAAAGATGTCTATGAAAAACACTTAGATCTCTTTGAACCACTTGTCAGTTTCATAAAGGTCAAGCCTGCATACAGCAGGGAGTCAACGTTCTGGCCCTGTTGGGCAGTCAGAACATCTTGAGCTTCAGTTAGATAAGTTTAGTTTGTTGTTCAGTTTTTTCAGTGACCATGTAGAAAATACACGTTAATCTCAATTGAGAGGGCATGCATTACACCAGAATTAGCTGATTAGCTACATTCCATCTGCAGTCCCTGGGCACACACAAACAATACAAAATACAATGCACAATTCATTATTTAAAAATATGATTAAGAGCTAATCCAATCAGATAACATAATAGCCACACTCCCTAACCTAAAACATACCGTCCTGTGAAGCCTTCCTCCACATCCACAAAGAGCATACTACCATATGTACCCGCACACCCACGCGCACACACCCGAAAATTGTCTTAAGAAGTCATGACAATGAGAGGATACCAAAACAAGTACCAATCAAGATTAATACACACATGATTGTTTTTTTTCAGGATCCATTTTTTCACTCAAAGGAAAAGCTCAGCTTGTTTCACTCCTTAATGGTAGATAAAGCAGATTGTGCAAATGCAGTACCTTGTTTTGGAATGCAGCTCTTACTTCAAACCCACTAATGACTGAATAAATGACATTGAACTGAAGAAAACACCCTTCACCATTGTCACCAGGCAAACCATGCCAAATCACAATACGGGTGTCTATAGTGGACCGAAAGGATTCATCCAACATAGAGTTCATCAAAACAGCTCTGCACTTCCAACTATCAGCACAGGAATTTCAACCTACCTTAGAAGGTACTGACCTAGTTCTACTTAGCAATAAACCAGAGGGGTTCTCTGTCTCAAACATGTCCTGTCAAAGTCAGGAAACATCTGCATGTATTTTCCAACAGTCAAGCTGAAGACAAAGTCTTGTCCTACCTTATATCTGGAGATCCAGGGCGCCTCCATGTTATCAGAATGCATGAGCTTAACCTCTGTGTCCTCCGCTAAAATAATCACTTCAAACTGACTGAGCCTCACTGTGAAAGCTGAGCTCTGTGAACTCCAGCTTCACCGCTTCACATCATGCCCGACAGAGGCTCATCTCCTTCTGTCGTGTCAAACAACTGTAATTTGTGATCGAGCATCTATCGGCAGAGCCACCAGTCACTCATCACCAGATTAAAGCTGTGACATCACTGTTGAGCCTATGCAGCCGCATTAAAGACAATGCTTCATTTATACTGTGCCTCCTCTCTTATTCTACTTTATGTGTAAAGTTCAGCTATCGATCAGTTCATCATGTCGCATCAACATGGTCCCTCCCGAAACTCTTCTAAGTCTTTAGCTTGGATTATTTAGCAAACGTTATACATGACTGAAACAAAATGAATTTACAATAACACATTTGACATAGTTTTTAATTTCCTCCTCAGTGATTGAAGTCATAAAATCATTGTCATGTTACTCACCAAACTTCCACGCCCAGAAGATGAGCCAAAGGGGGAGTTGACCTGAAACAAAATATCCTCACTTTAACTTAAAAGTGTAAAGTTTCTCATGTATGTATTTTGCTCCAAATCAGATTAAAATCCACCCTGATGTGTTATTTTTAGAGTCTTAAATGCTCAGAGACCCCTAAGGTCAGGTTGTGACCTTACATTTTGAAACCAAAGCCATGTGGCTCTAAAACAAGCACTAGAGCAGCAAAGACACTCTCAAGCCAAAAGCTTGTCAGTCTAAAACCTTTGGCTAAATGGAAAAATCTTTTTTTTGTGTGTGTGTGAGTGTGTGTGTGTGTGTGAGTGTGTGTGTGTGTGTGTGTGTGTGAGTGTGTGTGTGTGTGTGTGTGTGTGTAAACAGCAAATGGATAATAACAAATCTCCTCCCAAATGATCAGCAATGACCAGCAGGGACTACCCACGTGTGTCTGAAAATGTTGCCTGGGGGACTTACTTTTGCTTTTTCATCCCCAGGAATAAAGTCTCCCAAAACACTTGTAGACATTTGCAGCTTTTGTCATGTGTGTGGGAGCTAGCTGCCTGAGCATCTTTTTGTACAGCCTGTAGCTAAAGTATGTAGCATGTGTCACCAATCTTGTCTGATTACACAAAGGTCACCTTTGACTGATTTCACTGTAAGGAGGACCTCTGTCAAAGCTTTAACACAAAGCAGTGGGACATCATTTAATCAGTCCTATTTACAGCCTTTAAAACAGTATGATAATGAAACATAGAAGAAGAACCTGTGGCTGTGCCTGTTTCAATTAAAATGAATACAATTATCTCAAGTGTTGTCACTGCTAAAGTAGTGATGCCTCTATAGACACGGTTCCTGTAAGTGAGTGAAGTTCTACAGGTTGTACATTTACTCCCCTGGGGACTTAGTGACTTTAGCATTTATGTATTTAAAAAATGATGCATGCATTTTAAAACCTTTTTTTTAGAATGTAACCAACAGCTTTAAGATAGACTTTAGATAAAGAATGGCAGCCCGTGTAAAAATGCGTTTTAAAAAAACATCTACTTGAATAAATCTTTGTCCCTGGAGAGCAGGACTCGTTACCGTTGGCAGCAGCAGCGGCTCTATCTGAGCACTTTGGTCCGTGGTGTCCATCCTCCTCTCCCGGCAGCAGCTCCTCACCGTCACATAAAGATATGAGGAGAGACCTCCGCTGTGTGTGAATCCCGGCAGGTGTAGTAGCTGAATGTGAGCGACAGCACAGCGGTCACATGTTTATATCATCGGTCGGTCAGGAGCTCGGTGCTGATTTGCGCCCCGCATGCTGTTCCTCTGCGTTCATCCAAAACGTGTATCCCTCAGCGAGCTGACGTGGACGTTTTTTTAAATAGCTTTTGATTCAGACTCAGATGTGAGGAGGCTGACATCTGCATAAGCAACAACTGCTGCAGCGACCATGTTTTCAGAGTGGCCCATCAGGTGTAATATTGCAAGTTATATAACAATTTCTTTAGAGTTTTTTTTTTTTGGGGGGGCTCAGTGGGCTGAGCAAAAATGCTGCATTCAAGCTCTTCTGTGCAATGTTTACGTTTTAGACTTCGCATATCCTTTGCAATACCTCACACCCATTATTAATATGCATGATGCATCGACAAACATCATTGTGAAAAATGAAGTTAAGGCCTAAATTGAAATTCTAATTTACAGCTATTTCTCTGTGAATAATGGTTTAGTGTTTTTCTTTGGATAGCCTATCTGTTACCTTTAAATGAATGGAGCATTTCAAGTTTTTACAAAAGTACAGCTGGTTCAAGCTATAGCCCACAAACTGTGGATAAAGTTTAGAAAAAAATGAATGTTAGAGATCAACCTCACATGTTCAGATGAGTGATTAAATGGAATATATAAAGCCAGAGAGAAAATTCGATCAGATTTATTGTTTTGTGACGTCATTGCGGAGCACTAAAAGATATGATGCACAACAAAGCCATAGCCTACTAAAAGATTGCTTTAAATCTCCTTTCAGGCGACGTTGCTGCTCCAAGTTGAACCCCCTATTAACACCTGTATCCATACTGTCACTGTGGTCTTGCAGCTTATTGACAACATGATAATGATAATGAAGCAATTTAACAGCAACGGGTTTTTTGGTCTTTCGAAAGTAGTTCTCTTAACCATAAGAGGCTAAAATACAGTGTGGCCATATGGGCCTACATCTGAATCAAAGTGCAGTTGAATCCAGAGTCAAACTGAGGAAGTCAATCTAAAATCCTTTATTAAAGGCTTAATAGTCATTTTGAAACATCCATGCGTTTCAAATTTGTACCTCTGGACAGGAACGACCTCCAGAGAGCGCTTTAAAAACACGACCTGCATTCAGTTATCGCCATCTGCTGTTTGTCAGTGAGAAAGCCTGACTGCCACAGTGAGCACACACACACACACACACACACACACACACACACACACACACACACACACACACACACACAGACACACACACACACACACACACACACGGCTAAATCCCATACGTTATTGACAGCTGTGAGCTTCCAATTAAGTGCGAGTTTATTACGCATCTGTTTATAGAAGATTTGTATAACTTAATTATTCTCTAATAGTGTTTAGGCCTAATCATGTTTTTAAATATCCAATTAAAGATCTGATGATTAAGGCAGAGTCTAGATTTGATATGTCTGAATCATCTAAAAAACAATCAACCAATCAACTCTGAAATAAAAGATTCATTTTCACCACATTGGCCTACACTTAAAAAAAATGCGTGCTGTGAGATTTATCCTTACCCACGGCCACGTCGTCTTGTTTTTTTTTCTTTGAGCAGTCTCACACTGACAATACTTTTTTTTTTTAATGTGTCACTTTCCTTTGGTTGCCCAACAGAAAACTTGTCAGCTTCACAGTTTTGTTTTATCGTAGTCTAACTATGACAAAGAAAAAAAACACCCTCTAAAATTGGCTGCAAACTAATTTTTGAGAAACGTGAAATTTCTGATGTTAATTCCAATAAGTAAGATAGCCTTCTTTTTTTTTTATAATTGTCAATAAGCAGATGGATCGATTTTAGTTTTGGCGTGGGCTATATTATTTGAAGAGGAGACTTTAACTCGGTTCATAGAATTCCATATGTTCGGGCCCCAATTTATTGTGCCGTTTTTCCACGTCATTAAACCGTATTTTGATTTTTTTTTCCTTTTTTTTGTATCTTCCCTCTTCTTCTTTATCCCGCTCCAGAGTCTTGACCAATCAGCAGGCACACGAAGGCCCGGCCTTTCTGTAGTTTTTAATTTGTCTACGCAGTCGCGCAACAGGAGTGTCTCTTTTTCTCGTCATTGAACTGGAATAATGATTCAGTCTATTCATCGAGATTGAAGTATTCTTCTTTTTGTTCATCTCCTTATGATGCGTTCATGACAGTCAGACAAATCAACACTATTAATCAGGAGCATTATACTAGCCTACCTGATTCTAAGAAAGTACAAAGTTTCTTTTCCTGACGTCATTTATTATGTTTCAGTCACATTACAGCAGATACAGAGATTTTCACAATAGCATATAGCATACAGGCTATAAAAATAACCGGCCAAATGAAAACATAAAAAAGACTCTAAAACTACATTAACCCACATTTAAACAAATTGAACCACAGGTATCATAGCAGTGATCGGTAACGTCATAAACATCTCGTAACCTACAGCTTTGATAAAGTACAAAATACATTAGGTTTTTTTTTCACTGACAGGGAGTATTATGCCAGTTTATGCTACACAAGAAAATGTCCATGTACAGAGTTTTAATATTTTTCTTTACTAACAGCTTTAGGCTACTGAACAGAGGAGGGCTCGCTCTTTGAAACACTAAGAAGTCTTCTAGTATGTGTACATCCATCACTATCACCAAATGTTCAATAGTATTATGTACATTATATTTATATTTTTTACAAGTTTATATTGACTCAACAGCTGGCGCCCAACTCAAGATACAACAGATCAGGAGGAAGTGGAAGAATTTACACTTTGGCCATTAACTTTTCATCTTTTTTATGATAGATAGATTGATAGATTGATAGATAGATAGATAGATAGATAGATTGATAGATAGATAGATTGATAGATAGATAGATAGATAGATAGATAGAGTTTAACTGTGAGGATAGAAACTGTAGTAACCAATGTCCTTCGTGCAGTTCTTCTCGCACTCTCTGGGTGCCAGCAGCTCAGATTTGAGCGGGGACACAGTCTCAGAAACAGGTGTTGCTGAAGGTGAGATTCTCCTCCTTTTGGCCTGTTCAAAGATCCCAGAATCGCTCGAATCAATTGACTTTATTGAGGACGGCGTTTCTATCCAGCTCGACTCTGACGTCATGTCTTTGGGTTTGGTCTCCTCTGAGCCGCCGATCGGTGACCTCTCCGTGGGGATGGACTCTCCCTCCTCCACCAGGTAGTTGGCACCAGCTCTCCCACCGAGAGAATTGGCGGGCCAGCAGGAAAAGACCGAGCTAGACTTGCTGTTGACGCCACAGTACTGCGGCGGCGTGCGTCCTCCCCAGCCCGACGGGTCTGCGTAATAGCCAAGAGGCCGGTTGGAGCAGCCCGCAGTCGGCAGAGGAAGAGCCTTCACTCCGGCCGCCGCATAGGACAGCAAGGTGGCCGCGTTACCGGCGAAATCCGCGGCGTCGTATGCCGAGGCAGCAAAGTCCAGTCGGTTGTTGGCAGGGGTGACAAACCATCGCTGCGGGGGGGTGGCAACAGTGGGCTCCTCGCTCTGCTGCGGGGAGAGCAAGCTGTTGCCGAGTGGGACGCTGCGCTCCGTGCCAGGCCCAGTCCCCACGCCAGGGTGAAAGCGAGATTTGGCATAAGTGGTGACAAATTGGTCCTGCAGGAAAGAGCTAGGCATGGCATATCTCGCACCCGGCACGATCTGTGAACGCGGAGAGTCACCCGGTGATGGAGTTAGGCGGTCAATGTCGCAGCCTGTGTAGACACTGAAAAGATGGAGGGAAAAACAGAGAAACAATTCAGCAACTAGACAGGCTGTTTGTCTAAAAATCAAAAGCTTTTAGGTCAATATCCGTTTCACCAAAAACTTCATTTGTAGACCCTCAAATTGCGTAAGTGGGGCGAGTGTTTGAAAACATCGATCTCATCTTTACGCAGGAGAAATGTTTTTAGAAAAGGCCCCTTCCCTCTACAAGGAAAAAGAACTGCCCAGTTGCATTCACAAAAAACTTGTCGCCTTTTCTGTTGTTTTATAAACTGAATTTTACGCAGTAAAATAAAAACACCTAAACATGCGCCTGTGTCAGTGCAAGCCCTCAAATAAATTAGGAATAATGTCGTGTAAAGGATGTAATAAAGATTCTTAAAGAATGAATGTTACACATTAACAGGACTTGTATGCGTCTGGTAAATGGATGAAAATATGGTTCCAAATGCAGTAATTTAAAAAAATACATATTTTTAAGGCCATTATAAATCAACATTTTTTAAATAAACCGTCTACAATAACAATTCACCAGGATTAAACAACAATATTATGTTTCAACAAAACTAAACAAATAATCCTTACGTATCATAGTTGTCCCGGAACCCTTTGGCGAAAGGATTGTGGTCAATTTTGAGTTGCGTAATCTGTAGAAAAATAATGTATTTGATTAAGAAAAATATGTGCACCACATCATTAATCTAAAAAATATTTCTCACATTGAGCTTCAAGATGTGTGAGAACTTAAAGCCTGGGTCTGAATTTGAGTTTTTTTTTAAATCAAAACTGTAAGTTTTACTTTATTTTACAAAAATAAAGTAAAGTAATTCTAAATGTAAAAAACAGACTCTTTTTAATAACTTAAATATTGCTTAATGGATAAGTGGCTTCGTTTGACGCATTTTTTTTCCTCGTTGTGTGAAATGAGAAGCGGCCTTACGTCGGTATTCTGGTAGGCTGTGACTGCGATGAATTGCGTCTCTGTGAAGGTGAAAGTCTGGACTCTTCCTGGTTGGCTCGTGTCCTCTGTCCCATCCTCGTTTACTTCCACCACATGGAGCCTGGGCTGGTACTTGTGGAGAGACTGGAGGACCACCATCTGGAGATGCAATCAGAGACGCGCGTCAGGAATTCGCATTTCAACTTTGCATAGATGGTTAAAGCTGAGTACTCAACAAGAGAGCCTCATTTGAGCATTCTCATTTTGATTAAATCAAATGATTATGTGCATCTGTTGTTGAGCTGTAAACTGTGCAGCCAGCTAGATAGAAAACCAGTACACATTTCCAAATAATATTTAGATGCGCAATAAAGAAGAAAAGGGGAGGATGAACTAAATGTATTTCCTTTGAGGTGTAACATTAATGATCACAAAAATAGAAAATCAAATGAAACATTGGACATGATGTTGCATTACCTGCCCGGTGTTGTTGGAGGCACCTTTGTTGTTTGTGAGCTTTAGCTTTCCAAATGATATTTCCTGACGCATCCAGTGCGCACCAGTATTTGGTGAGTCCGGGTGCATATAAACCCTATTTCCTAGAAATGCAGAAATAAAGAGAAATTAAACATTATATATGGATTGTTGTAAAATAATAAATTCGTTTTCTATAGGTTTAAAAAATGTAATTTAACTACCCTATATAAGATGGTCAAAATAAATTTAAAAAAGTTTTAATGTTGAAAGGAAAATATTATTATTATTATTTTTTTTTTTTTTAAAGAAAATAATAATACCTATCACATTCGTGTCTGCTTTTCCACATGGCACCCACTTGCCTCCTTGAAATCGCCAGTGATTTGGATCAGCGAGTATTACATCCACAAATATATTGTAGTGAGCAGTTGGGTCGAGGCCAGAGATGTTGAAGCTTAAAAATGGAAACATTCGTCTGCGGGGAATAATGCAACACAGATTTAAAAAACTCCAAAAATATCTTGAGTTTTTAGTCTTTTTTTAATTTTGGGGAAATCATGATTGAAAAATCGTTTGAGTGTGAAAGTTTGTAAGCCATATGTGTGCGCTCACTTACCGCCCTTGCTTTGTGATGATCATCTCCGTTTGGTGCCTGTGGAACTTGAGCCACAGGGCCCTGTTGCACAGGTACACCTGCGCTTTCCCCGGAACCAGTCCTGCCTGCGCGGAGGAGAACTGGTAAAAAGCCCCCCCTTGGTACGTGTGTCCATACTGTTGCGCGTAAGGGTAGCCGGTCGCAGCGTAGCCTTGAGGAGAAGTGTTGGTCAGAAGGCTGTTATAAGCTCCATTAGTTATGACCGGATGATGGGCCATGTAGCGACTGGGACTTCCAATAGAGAAAGCCGGGTGCGCGGGTCCATGCTGACTCGGATACGGGAACATGGTGGCTGCTGAGACTGACTGAGGCTGTGCGGATGGAGAAAAGATGCACCTTTCTCCTGCAGATCCATCGAAATTATGACGGATGTCAGAGACTCCGTGAAGATCAGGAGAGAGTTTGCCCCTCTGGACGTCCCCTGATGCGTCCTTGGAGTCGGGAAAATTGTCTGCCTCTGACTGATTCGTCATCTCCCTAGAGTTTTTTTTCAGGGGTGAACTTCTCTCCAGGTTGTCACTCGCAGATATAATAGGATGGTCCTGCAACGAAAGCTCTGATCTATCGGAGCTCGAGAAGCCACTGCCCACATTCATAAATTTCTTGGAGAGTTCACTCGCCGGCGAGATGCAATTCTCGACCTGCATGGCTCAATAGGAAGCCACTGTCAGCTCAACCTATATCACAAGCCTGTGCACACGCCTTTTCCAAATCTAACACGGAGGAAAACGCCTTTTGCGATGACTTGAAGCACCGAAGGCAGAAAATTAGCCAATTGACACCATCCTGCAATCAGGAAGGATTTTCTTTCCATCACTCTGCCTTCTCTGCTAATGAAACAAGTACCGCCATTGGTTAACTCAGGGCTGTAATTTAATTAGACAGCTCTTAATTAGGACAATCTGTGGAGCGCTGTGAGCAAAGTGATTTGTTTGCAGGGTGACATAGGCCTTTATTTGACTTAAACATATAAGACTTAGACAGTTTCTTCTTATATGTGAACAAGAAAAACACAAATATTAAAGATAAGGAAGAAGCACTATGGGAAAAAAAATTGTTTTCTGCTCGCGTCAGCTGCGTTATTTACCTATTTATCTGCGTTATTTACCTATTTATGCGCCATGAGTGCCAAAGTATGTCTGCGGGAGAAACCAGGATATATTATTAACACACCAAAAATGACAGTCCATGACAGGCAGCGCATCTGATGCCTTAAAATGTTTGTGATATAGCGTGAAATCATGGCGTCCCACTGAAGATGTGTTTATGAGTCCCACTGCTCGTTAATATTTTATCAGCTGTAAAGTTATGAACCGGAGGACTGATAGCACGGCTGCTGTGGCAAATACATGTCACAGGAAGGAGAGGAGAACTCTGTGCAGACTGCTGATTTAAAATGAACTGGATTAGAATGAAGACATGTTTCTTTAGTGGAAAAGTTATTGCAGAGTTAGACTTATAAAACTTCTATACATCTGGCATAATGAAGTCTTCTTAGGAATAATACTCTTTTAAAGTTGTTCCTACATTATATGAAATAAAGATACAATTAGATGCCAGAAAATCTCTGCTGAGGCTTTCATTTAAGATGTTTAAGTTTATTGTTAGCAGCTATATGGTATCATATACAAATAACAATTAAAAAAAAACACTAAAAGTTCTATCATTGATTTGACCTCTCAAAGGCTTCAGTGCAATATATTGAAACTTTCTCTGAATGATTCCGAAGATGAAATGAAGTTTCAGAATGGCTGCAGGTTAAAATGTTCCAGCCCTAAATGCACATTCTGCAGCTACTTTACCATTTTAAGGCAAACTGCTTGAATACAGTCCATTCTATGATTTTAAAGCCTTTGTTTGAAAACTGCATTTATAAACGTCCAGTTCAGTGGGTGCACTCTATATAGTAATGAGATTCAATACCACCTTTATGATGCCTGTGAGGTGTTTATATAACACTATTTTTTTAAACAATGAGATGTGTTCAATGTTCAGTGTTGAAATGTATGACAGGCGTCTTTCTTGTGAAATATCACACTTTTCAATATGAAGCAGTATACAGCCATTAAAATGCATATTTTCAACTGATTTAAAAAAAACAAAAAACATTTGCTTTAGTTCTTCTGCACTATCATAACTAGCAAGTGTGTTTGGAACAGTCTTAACCAAAGCAGGGTTAAATGCAGAGCGACGGAGGCCCGCCTCACTGTCGGGTACATCTACATCAAGTCTGTATCTCTAATGAACAGTCATGAATCTCTGAAGCTAACAGGAGGGGTCATTACTGCATGAGGCTATAGGGTCCAGCAATCTATTCCTGTGAAACATGCAAGCACGGGCTTGTCTGCATCCAAGCAAGAAAAGAGAGGTTGCTCTTTTGATCTCCTCATTACAGGATTATGGTTCACTTCCATCACTAATCTTTAATAAGCAAAGTAGTTGTTTTTTTTCCCCCAACCAATTGTTGAACACCCGTGCAGTGACTCAGTTTGTTTCCCTTAGGTGCTCCTGGTGCCTATTTATCAGCCTAAGTCCTGCCTCTCTATTGGCCCACTCAGCTAGTGGACATAACCAAAGAGGAGGAGGGGGGGGTAGGGTGATATGTTGTGCTCGTGGGGCCCCTCAAGGGGGATTATATAGTGCAGGTTGGGATCTGTGCCTGATGCCTTGTACAAACACTGAATTGACCAGATTAGCTGAATGCACTGGGTCCCATTGACCTGCGTTTACACCAGTATTAACCCTCCAGAAATGATGATGAAGCTGTTGTAAATGCATCAATAAATGAGTATTTCAGTGCAGGTTCAGTATAAGATTAGATACGGACCTGAATTTGAACAAATCCATGAGAAATATACTTCAAACTTCAGTTAGAATACAAAAATGTATTTTAAACATTACAAAAATACAAATAAGGGGTTATCTGTTTATCTTAAAAAATCTGTTTTTTTCCTGTACCTGTATCACCATTTCTTTATTTTTGGGCCAAAGAAATCTGCTTCCCACCTGGGTCTAATCTAATCAATGTGAATGACAAGGAGAGAAAAAGCCTGAAAGTGAGCACCAGCTTAGGGATTTTACCTAATGCCCAGCACTGTCACTTCGATGATATGATCACAGCACACAAAATGACAACAAAATTATGGCCAGCAAGGATATGGGGGACATCATGTGCTCCTCCAGTCAGGTGAAATTGCTTTTCCCGACTATGAAATGGCTTGTCTCTTGTCGGATGGGTAAACATTTCCTTGTCAGGCCAGTAATAAGGAATGAGGCGCACTAGGGCTCAACTAAGAGGATAGAGCCAAGGTTATTTGGGATTCATGACAGGTAGTGGCTTATATTACAGCGGCACTAAAAATTTCATGGGAATGCATTTAAGATGGCCTTTAACTTATTTATATGTTGTTTGCCAGACGTCACATTGCAATTTCCATCAATAAATCAAAGTGAAGTATTTCTTCTCTTTCTTTCCTGGCTCTTTGATTTAAAAAAAAACAAACAAACAAGATCACAAAACCTGTGTTTAGCTTAAGTCTTTAATTAGCTAGCATGGCTAATCTGATTAAGTGAGGAGGTGTTTGTGCTATGCTAACATAACTATCGCCCCCTGTGGTTTGCTGCCATCAGTGATCCGCTCTGTCACAGGGAATCAGGGTGCTCTCTGACAGAAAAAAAGGACAGCTGGAGTCCTGCTAAGGGGCGGAGTGGACAGTTGTGGCTTTTAAACCCTTATTAGTCGTCCTCCCTGGACACACAGCGACACGCGTCTATACGCAGCAGTGCACTCCTACACCTGCTCATTATTGATGGCCAGAGCACAGCCCAACCGGGGTTCTTTACCACAAAGCTCACAACAAATTAACCTCAGGACAGGTGAGTGGGATGTTCAGAGGAAATGCAAAGGGAAATGGTTCCTGTGCTTATTCCAAACCTGAGCCTGCACTACAGAGATGCTACATCCACAAATAACACATAGACATGAAAGTATATTTTCTTTCACAATTCTTTTTTTTTGTCACACAATTAAATAAATCATCAAATAATTTTCCCCAAATTATTGGCAAGCATTTTATAATGCACTTTTGTCATAAATTACATTAAAAAAAAGATAATTAAGAGACCTGTATTATTTGAATTCGTTTTTTACTCATTCCTTTTTTCCCTTATACTATTTGCTTCTCAGTGAATACGTTGTCTTTTTAAATTTGCTATTACTTCCCAAAGTAACTTCAAAATATTTTTTTTTTATATTGTTGAATATACAGTTTTCTGCATGGTAACCAAAGTTCTGTGAAAATACCCCAAACATGCCATTTGATAAACATTAGCACTGTCACTCACATGTTTTCAGTTGTTTTTATCTTCTGTCTTTCTATCCCTATCCTTCACATGTTTCTATGCCTTACAGGAAAGTGCCATTATGATCATTTTCCAAATCCAATGGTAAAAATAGTTTAAGTCAATGGGAGAATATTCTTAAGCTACCCACCCCTCCCCCCCATTAAAGAAGTGGTATGAATACAGATAATGGTATGTAAAATGAATGCATAATTATAGATGTGTGACTTTCGCCTCGTACAGATTTCGGTGGCAGAGTAACACTTGTGAAAGACTGTATTCCTCTGGGTACGACGATCCCTGAGAGTACAACCTGAAACTGCTTCATGCTCTCTGATGTGTATGATGTTACTAAACAAATTGTGAGGATATAATGTCAGGGATCCCAAAGTTAGCAGAAAGGCTAATGCCCCGACCAAAACTTCTTTTATCACCTGCTTCTGACCCGTTATCAACTGTTTGGTTTGTTGCTAGTCTCTCTTTAATATTTAAAGAGCTTGTGTGACCCGGGGAGTGCAGCTGGGGTTTGTGACCATTTTGTTATTTCTGCTGCCATGCACTGTCAGACGTCTGCGAGTGAAGAACACGGCCACTGTCCCCAGTAAGCCCACAGCATAAAAAATTCAGACTAACTCCGGTTTTTAAGCCATTTCTGATGAAAAGCACGCCGAAATGAAACTGACTTATGCCAAATGAATATCATTGAATGGCTGTGATTGTGAGGGCTGATGTTTGTTACTTTGAAATTATTTATAAAACATCAGTTCCATTTTAAGAGTGGCCATGCCATCAAGTGTGCACTTACTCCTCTGAGGCTCCTCAGAGGTTTACAGAGCAATGTCCGCCTTAACCTGAACAATAGAGATCAGGCCGATCCAATCCAGTAACTCCTTTTTTTTTTTCCTTTGATAGGGTTAAAACATGAAATAATAGTCTAATTAAAGCTGTGCATTGATGATAATAAAACAAGGTTGAAGCTAATTAAAAGCTTTCATCTTTAAAAAACAACAACACAGAAAACCTGTTCTCAAAGGATCAGCATTCACAATTTGGCACCTCGATATCTTTTGATTATATCCCAAGATTTATCTGTGACTGACCTGCCACAGAAAAATATTTCTAAAAATGAAATACAAATGCTGCACGGATCACGTAAAAAAAATGGAAAAAAAAAAAAATCTCTGTTAAAAGAGAAAATATTTGGGGAGAATAGGAGCAAACAGGCGACTGTCGTGTTACAAGAATAATCTTCATTAAAATCACAGGCAACAACACCAGGCCAACACGCAGCTCATTGGGAATGCAGTGTGAAAAGAGAGGCCCACAGATTATCACTCTACGTAACTCATGTTTAATTTATCCAGGAGCAATATTGTCAAGAGCCCTCGCAGTCCAAAG